AGAGAGGGGGGGGGGGAGAGACTGCGTGTGTGCGCGTGTGTTGACCGCTCCTGCTCGACGGGCACGCGGCGCGAGACGAACTCGAGCAGCTCGCGCGCCGCCTCGATCGACTCCTGCGACGGCCCGACGATCACCACGCGCGGGCCATCCGGGTCCACCTCAACCTTGTCGACGCCGGCCGCCTACTCTCGCGCAATCTCGCGGTGAGCTTCGGGGCGATCTCGGCGCCCCCCTGCGCGGGCCTCGTCGGCCGCCTTTTGCGCGCTGCGCACCGTCGCGCCGCCCTTGCCGACGACGAGCCCGATCAGCTCCTTGTCGACGGGGAACTCGAGCCGGAAGGACGAAATCAGCCGCTCGCGCTCGTGCTGCAGCTTGGCGGAGAGCTGCTCGCGCTCCGAGTGCACGCGCGCCATGTCGCCGACGTGCTTGCCGTGCAGCTCGATCAGCATCTTGGCGGTCGCGCACGCCTTCTCCGCGCCGAGCAGCTTGATCTGGTGCACGTCGCGGTCCACCTCGAACGCGAGCACCTTCGACTTGGAGACCACGTCCGAGACGACGCGCTGCTCGTTTGCCTTGCGGCGGAGAAACACAACAGCGGTCAGCCCGCCGCCCCGTCGCCTCGCACCGCCCCTGGACGCCGAGATGAGCCGAGATGAGCCGAGATGAGCCGAGAGGGGCCGAGAGCCGCTCGTTCGCCTTGAACCACTCGTGGACGCGCGAGTCGGTGAGCTGGAAGACCTGCTTGTTAGGGTTAGGGTTAGGGTTAGGGTTAAGGTTAGGGTTAGAGTCGGTTAGCTGGAAGACCTGCTTGACGAACGGCGGTCGCGAGCGCGCCGGCGCCACCCTCGAGTATGCGGGCCGGAAGTGTGGCCACTCGACTATCTCCTCGCCACCGCCGCTGCCGAGGAAGACGGCGACGGTGTAGCCTCCCTTGACCGACTTGACCTTGGCCTGGAACCAGACCTCCTCCGCCCCCGCCTTGGGAACCTCGATGATCGAGTCCTGCGGCGGAGGCGAGCAGGAGTCCGCTGCGAGAAGGGTGTGCGAGAAGGCTGCGCCCCCCCCCCCCCCTTGCTACAGGGGCTCCGGAGGCTATGACCCTGCCCTGAACCGTCTCGGAGCCCTTTACTCGCAGGAGCTGCAGAGGCTCCTCCCGTGGGCTCCGCCTCTCCTCGTGGGCCGGTATGAGCCGAAGCGGTACTCGTGCAGCGAGAGCACGGGGCGACCTCGCCACAAGCCGGCTCACGAACCCACTCTCGGTGGGGCGCATGTGCTAGGAGGCAGCGTGCGTGCGCGGCTTTTCAAGGCGCGAGGAGGCGCGCACCGGTTGCGGGAT